AAGTGTGAAACCCGGGTCTCTTTTAAAGACGCGCAGAGCGTTCAGAAATAGATTCAACTACAAATAAATTACGAACAACATTAATCGCACATTCTGGATACTTCAGGTGGGTGGTTCAAAGTAATGGGCAGGAGCAAGGAATCTGAGAGCCCATAACCCAGACTTGAATTGCAGCTCCACAACTAAATAGCTGTGTGGCCTTGAATGAGTTATTTAACCTCTCTGTGCCTCAGTTTCCTCTTCTATAAAATGGAGATACTGCTAGTATCTACCTCATGGCGTTGCTAGGAGACTTTTAGGAGTTAATATATGTGACACTTCCAACAGGCCCTTGCATTTACAGTAAAACCTCGGTTTGTGAGCACAATTCATTCCGGAAACATGCTATCCATGTAGTCCAAAGCGCTCATATATCAAAGCAAATTTCAAGAACCATTGGCTCAGTTGTGATCATGTGACACTTGGCATCAGGCTCAACTCATATTGCAAAACATTGCTCATTTACCAAGTTAAAATTTACTAGAAATGTTTGCTTGTCTTGTGGAACACTTGCAGAACAGGTCACTTGCAAGCCAAGGTTTTACTGTAATAAGTACCATAGAGCTGTTAGCTTTTACTATCTAGGAGCTCAGAAACTTTGGCAAGCATCCAAGCCTTTCCCTCCTTCATTCTCCCTCCTGAACAATATGGCGGCACAGCAGACACTGGGCCTCAATGCGCCCACGGAACGTTACCCTCCGTAGGTGTCTGCGAAAAGGGAGAATTTTCCCCTTCACCCAAAACACACGGGAAGAAAATTGTACAGATTCTGCATTCCCTCAGCCTTCCCCTTAAAGTGTCTTCCCCCACCTTCGTGCTGCCCTCTTTGGACCAGTAAGGTTCTCGCTGGTTTTCTTGACAGAGGTTGGGTCAGCACTCGTTCCTCTCTTAGTCACTGGACCTACCACAGCCATTCGCAAACTCTTGAGTTGACTTAATCGGTCACCCAAACATTAGGCACAAACTTTTCCTCTTTTTACCGCGGGCAACGAGACAGACAAGTAACATACATTCCCCCTCTTTTAAAACAGAAAATAAAGAGAATTCCTTTAGCAAAAATAAAGTGATTCCTTTAAAAGTTTAAACAATATTTCAGAAAAGTGTTCCACAAAAACTAAAAAAGAAAAAAATTGCTTCAATGACTTGGAACAGAATATAAGCTTTATTTAAAAAAAAAAAAAAAAAAAAAACTTAGAGGCACTTGGGTGGCACCAACCAAGAGCTGGTTAAGTGCCAACTCTTGATTTCAGCTCAGGTCAGGATCTCACAGTTGGTGGGATTGAGCCCCACATCAGGCTCTGCACTAACAGCACGGAGCCTGCTTGGGAGTCTCCCTCTCTCCCTCGCCCTCTGCCCCTCCCTTGCTCGTGCAAGCTCTCTCTCTCTCTCTCATAATAAATAAACTTCAAAAAAATGAATAAAAATAAAAATAAAACATTTTAAACATTCAAAAACAATTAAGAGGGCGATAAGTAGATATCAGATCAGGTCAGCAATATAAACTGACATCATCTTAATGTGAAACAGGATCTGTGTGAATATGCCTTGCAGAGAAAGATTTGTGGAATCACTTTTGACGTAGTTCATGAGAACTGGGCAGATTCCACTGGAAGGGTCCTTTGGGAGTAGCCTTGAGGTAAACCAAGTATCTAATGTTTTTAGTCTGTTCTCTGAGCTGAATTTAGGCTTGGGGGCTTGGGCATCTGAAACTTAGTTCAACAAATTACTAATAGATTCCTCCTCAGACATACTTCCATCATTTTTAGAAGCCCAATAAATTCAAAACATTTTATGCTACACAGTCCATTGTGAAAACGTTCAAAAATGTATTGACAAGACAGCGGCGTGCTGTGAAGATACGATCTTGCCCACCCGGCATGGGGGTTTAAGCCCATGGCTTCTGGAATCAAACTGCAGGCTTTCAGATTCCAGATATTCTACTTACAAGCTTTGAGACCTTGGCCAAGATCCGATGGAGAGAACAGACCCTACCTGTAGCGGACACCTGTCAGTGTTTCTGTCCCACCCCCTTCAATAAGCACCTGATACTCTTCTTTCCTAGATTCCACCCCCACCCCCTACACACACACACACACACACACACACACACACACACACATTCCTTGCCACCCATGTGGCTGTTACCCAATGACTGGGCAGCAGGAGGGAAGCCAAGCTTCCCTTCCTAGCCTATAGGGTTTCCCTTCAGAACCAACTGAAGCTACCCTGGGAGGGCCTTGGCCTGAGATGTGCCCTTGCTTGGCTCAACTCCCTTTTCCTGCCCTCCTTCCATCACCCCTTACTGGTCTTTCCTACGACCAACTCAGGGATGACTTCCTTGCGTTGGAACCTCATCTCAGTATCTGCTTCTGGAGAACTAGGACTTCACATTTAGCTGCCCCCCACCCGAGAGTTTTGAAAGAATGGATGAAGCTATTGTATCAAAAGCACCTAGAACAGCATCTAGCATATAAGTGCTACGTAAATATTAGCTGTGGTTATTTCCTGAGGTTGGGCCTGCAGAACCAAGGATAACCCGGGGGCTATACAGGGACTTCAGACTCACATAAAGCCACAAACATACAAACTCTTGAGAAATGTTGAGGGAGCGGAATAATCCACATAATTGCTTCCATTCGCATCACTGGTTGCACCCTTGGCCTTAATTACAAGGGAATAAATGCTTCTGGCTGAGTTGTAATATAAAGAGGCTGCCACTGTGTGCTCCCATGAGACCCACCACAGGCATTCAATTTAGTTAATAAGTATGGATACTGGAAGACTTGAACGTCCTCTCTCCCATGTGCTATATTTTTTTATAAGTGAAAACTCTTTGGTTCGTCCTTTCACCGGGTTTCATGGAGTAGTTGCAAGGTTGCTTGTTTGAAGGTAAGCAGCAGGAGTCTTAAGAACTTAATTTTAAGAAATTCAAAGAGCAAAGAATGCACTTTGTTCTTTGAGTTCCTTAAACCTATATTTCATATCCTTTCATAATAATTTGTCTTTTATGGATAAAATATACACAAATCACTTAGGAAAAAAGGCATCTGAAATGACCTTGGGCGACCAAGTTCTTCTGTTTTTAAATGGCATGCACAGAGGATATTATTAAGACTTCTATATGGTAGCATTTCTAGCACAGCTCTGAAAGAGAATTTACCATTTCTTTATTATTCAGTTCAAATATAAGGGCAAAGAAACTTACTCATAGGATTTCTTTTTTTTAAGGTTTTCATTTATCAGCTCCTGGAAAAAAACCGATATAGGCAAAATCCCAACATGATAAAACCTGAACTAAAGTAACAGTGGCTGGGGGGAACCTCTACGTGAATTATTATGATCTTAGGTCCTAAAAAAAAATTATTCTTGTCTGGTTCTCTCATCTGACCCCACTACACACTGGCTTTTGTCCACTTCACAGCACTTGAGTCATTAATGATCTCCTCCAGGACAAATTGAATGTTCTCTCTTCTACCCTTATTCACTTTTAATCTATTTGTTGCCTTTGTTCGACTCAACCACTACCTTCCTCCTCCTCCATAAGCCTCTCTTCTAATTTTGTCTGATCCTTTAGTATTTTTTTCCTTTTCAATTTTGTCATATATTTTAAAAATAAAAATGAAAACGACAATTAGAGATGAGGAGGAAAAAAGCACCCCAACCCAAACACTATTATTTTGTTGGATTCTCACCCCACCCCTGTTTTTTTTTTCCTAATTGGTTTTTACATATTGTGAATAGGATTTTGTATCCTTCTTTTTCTACCAAATATTTTTTAATTCTTTCCCATGTTGCTATAGAATCTTTGAAACCTCCAGTTTTAATTCCTGTTAATAATTTCATCTCTGTCTCACTCCTCCTCAGTCTGTTTCTTCTCCATGCGAATTCACCCTTCTCCCCGAATAAACCCATTGCTGAGCCAAAACTATTTTATATCCCACATTCTCCTTTCATGTTCGAGTCTTCCTTTTGTCCTAATTATATGAACACTAATTTAAAAATAAAATAAAGTAGGGGCACCCGGGGCTCTGTTGGTTAAGAATCTGACTTTGGCTCAAGTCATGATCTCATGGTTTGTGAATTTGAGCCCCGCATCATGCTCTGTGCTGACAGTGCAAAGCCTGCCTGGGATTCTCTCTGTCTCCCTCTCTCTCTGCCCCTCCCCCGCTCTCTCTCTCTCGGTCAAAATAAATAAACTTAAAATTTTTTAAAATAAATAAAACAAAGTAAAACTGTCGCACTAAAATATTCATATCCAAATACTTCCCATCCTGGAAGTTAATCTGGCAATATAGATCAAAGATATAGTCTTCTGAAATGCCTAAAACATGTTTCCTCTAAATAATTCCCAAGATTTTTTGGAGTCCCTACAAAAGTAACAACTAGGTAATTAGTAGTTTTCAACAAGACTGATACCAGATAGCATTTTCCAAATTCTGCTCCAGAAACGACTAGTACAATACTAGCAGATGTTCAGTTTTTTTAAAATTTTTTTTAATGTTTATTTATTTTTGAGAGAGCATGAGTGGGGGAGGGGCAGGGAAAGAGAGACACACAGAATCCAAAGCAGGCTCCAGGCTCCGAGCTGTCAGCACAGAGCCTGACGCGGGGCCCAAACCCAGGAACCGTGAGATCATGACCCGAGCCGAAGTCCGACACCTAACAGACTGACCCACCCAGTCGCCCCAAGATGTTCAGTTTTTTAAAGGGGGGGTGGGTGGAGAAGGGTGCTATGATTTAAAAAAAAAAAAAGGTTGGGAAATTTTTAATTTTAAAAATTTGAAAGATTTTGTTACTGTAAGAATTTTCAGAGCCTTTAATGTTACTCCCAGCATGTAGCACAGCTGGTAGGTGTTCAATAAATATTTGTTTAGTCCGTAAATTTGCATCGTGAATCTCCAGGAAATAATACAACATGTAACATTTCCCAAAAGAAAAGCAATTTATATTTGTTAGACATATTTAAACAGCTATTTAAAAGATTGTTTATTGCCACATTGTTTAAACTAGTTAATAACTCCAGGCAATCCTCATGTCCATCAACTAGGTGATAGTGAAAGAAATTATGGTACAACGAAAGACCGCAGAGCAATTCCAGAAAGCTCAGAGACACGTCAATTCTGTGCTGACTATCTAAAGAAGAATGACTTGCTCTTCTCTCGAGGGTCTTTGGAGGAAAAAAGAGCATCTGGATCCAGGATTGAGTTGGCTCCATTACTTGTTAGGCTGAACTGTGAACAGGACACGTTATAACTTCAGCTCAGTTCCCTCAGCTCTAGCATAAAGCTTTTAAGCCAAATGATCTGCAGGATCCCTTTAGTCAAAGTTTGACAACTTAGTCTAAGAAGTCTCATTTTAGCTGTAATGAGTTTTTTTGAAATTAAATGAAGTCCAAGGAGTGTTATGCAATGAATTAGATTATTTTTCTATCTTCCTCATGGACTGTAAATATTGTAATAAATTAAGCAAATAAATAAACACATTTTTATGTCAGTTCCACACTATATATGAAAAGTTTTATAAATTTGTGTACACTTAACCCGACGAGTCTACTTTTAGAATCTAGCCCAATGAATTACTCAAGAATGTAAAACAAGATTTAATTTAGCAAAGATGTTCATTTCAACAATGGGAAAAACAACAACAACAACAAAAAAAAAACAGTACCTAACAAGGAACTTGTTAATTAGATGATAGTACATTATAAAATATCACAGTATGAAGTCATTAAAATGATGTAGAAAAACATTTAATGCTACGGAAATAGATTTACAACATATTTTTAGGATGAAAAATGCAGGTTATAAAACAGCATGTACAATATAATCCAATTTTTATTGTAAAAGATTTCTATGTTGCTAAAGAAAGGTGTTGAATGACTACAATAAAAACTTTACACTAGTAATCTCTGGGTTTATATGTGTTTTCGAAGTTTCATAAAGTTAATATACATTGCTTAGAGAGCAATAAAATCAGTGATCTTATAATGTTTTTCCATAGTTGTTTCCTTAGTACTCTATGTAACATAAATAAGTCATTTATGGGATTCCATAAAACTACATCGGTAAATGTTTGCTTAAAACAGTAATGTTATTAACACTGTCATCAAAGATGCCTTGTCTCTTTTCCAAAAATAATGAATTGTGGTAAGACCAGAAATGAATTTTTTAGATGCCTTTAAAGAAATGATAGTTTCAATTGCATGCAGCCTTCTGTTTCTTGTTCCATAGTAGTCTGGTGCATTAAATGACGCTGAGAGGCATCAGTGTCTAAGACCAAGAAATAAAGGAAACCAAGGTGTCATGATTCTGAATACTTAGCATAATAAGGTTATTTGAAGACTCTACAATCTGCATTAAGGAATAAAACCAACTAGTCTCTGCAATGACACTCTAATGCCATTCTTAACATCTGTGCCTTTAAATTTCAGAAAATAGTACAACTTATTTAAAAGGTGGTGGGATCCACAGAGGATGACAATTTTTATTTTCTCCAGAACATTAAAAGGAATGCCATCTTTGGCCTCCATCATTTAAGAAGAAAAAAATATTCTAACCATAAAGGTTCTAATCTCAAGTTTTTGTTTTTCTTTAAAGTCCTTTCAAATGAGTCAGTGTGGCTTTACAAATGTAGATCTTGCATTGTTTGGATTCCTCTTATTTTGCTGCAGACTGGCCAAACTTTGGCAGGCACCAGCACCCCTTTGTAAAAGTCACAGTCACCTAGCAAAGAGGTCCCTGCAAAAACACCCCAAAACAAACTGGTATTTTTAGTCAACTATTCAGAAGGATATTGAGAAACATTCAGAGGATTTAGGAACATGAGTTAGGCTCAACGTTGTTTAGGTTGGGAAAAGGCAATTCTTTTGGTTGAAGTTAATTTAAATAATAAGACAGTAAAACCCAAAAGACTTTGATCCTCTCTCCCTTCCACTGTTTCCTAAAATTCAGTCGTTCATGTCTTATCTTCACAATTTTCATCGTATTGGCAAAGCACCTCTACTCTTACCACCTTAGTATTTTCTCTTTGGGTCTTCTACTCTGGGCGGTAGAATATCTATCAAATCAGAGGTTTGATGGGATAGTGTACACATTTAACCATTCTGACATTTAAAAGGATCTTGCATATTTGCCCCCACAAACCCTCATGTAATCTAACTTCGTCACTTCGCTGAGGCCCAGCATGTTTAAGTAACATGTTCATTGCTTGCTGTGTTCGTGGTCTTACTTGAAGAGGTTGACGGAGCAGGTGATGGATTTGAAAAACAACAGCAGCGCACACAGGAGATTCTGTTCATGGGCTGTCAACATACTTACCTACAAGTTACGTCCATAATTTCAAAGATGCTGGAAGTTACCTGCTCCTCCCCTTACCAATTTCACTTTTTTTTTTTACAGTTCTTAAATGGCTCAACACTCTACTGTGTTTTATCCATTCATCCGACCACTATTTCTCAAGTACCTGCTTTGTGCAAGACACTCCCTGAGGCTACAATAAGGAGCCAAAGAGACAAAATACCTTGCCCTTATGAAGCTTCCATTCTCCTGGAGAGTTCTAGCTTCCTAAATGTATGTCATGTTTCTTCTTTGCAACACTAAATTCCTGGAGTTCGAGATGTGGGTCTCATCTACTTTGGCTCCTCTGTAGTGCCCCAGAGGGTGGTTTACAGTGTTAAATCAGTGAATGAACAACAAAAAGATGCACAAGCCCTTTTGTTTGTTTGTCCTTTGACCCCAAGAACTACTTTTAATCACTTCGATTTACTCCACTTCATCTATTCTTTTTTTTTCCAGTTTTCAATTTCTCTGATTTTCATCTACAAAATCCTAAAGGTGAGAAAAGACAGGAGGAGCCAAGATGGCGGAACAGCATTTAAGTTTTTTGTGTGTCTCACATCCATGAAATACTGCCAGACCAACACTAAACCATCCTACACACCTAGAAAACTGATTGGAGGATTAACACAACAAACTGCACAACCTGAACCACAGAATTCAGCAGGTCCGCGGTGCAGAGAGGTGAATTTGGGGACCGAGAAGCCGCTGAGGATAGGGAACCGCTTTTGTGGGCGGAGAGAGGACGGAGACTGGGGGGGTGGAGAATACGGGAAGAGCACCCTTCCCCAAAAGCAACCGGAGAGAAAGTGGAAAATTGGAAATGGCCACAGGGACTAAACTAAAAAGGGAGAAAGGAGAAAGGAGAGGGTTTCAATTCCATTAAGACTGTTAACAAGGGGAGCGCAAAGGCTGCAACTCCGCAGCTCCATACCTGGCGGTGCTCTGGTGGGAAGGGCGAATCCCCAGGAGCAGAGTGGGGTCCGGGAGGTTCTCGGGCCACACAGGGAAAAGCGGTTCCACTGATGGAAGGACATTTGGTAGAGACTGTTGAGGCCACCTGGTCCCAGCAGACCCCAGAGGCAGCCACATTCGCGGGTGCTGGGGCAAGGTCCTTAAGGGTCAAGCCTGGTGCCAGCTGTGTGTTGTGATTTTCCAGAATCCCTGAAAACTGCTGCTACACTATCTCGTGAACTTTTTCTGGGGCGGGCTGGCACCTGGCCACAGTCTCGGAGCACCGGCAGCAGCAGGGTCCAGCAAGCATTCCTGGGTGCAGCCGACATTCGGTCATTGCTCATTCGGCCATTGCTCCATGAGACCCTCCTGCAGAGGGGCGGAACGGGTCAAAGCCGCAGTCCTTCAGAAGTAAGGGGCTGGGGGACACAGCCACATCTGAGACGGAACTCGGGAGAGAGGTGCTGCCTGGGGCCTGGTCACGGAGAGTGAAAGAGCTGGGAGTGGAGGAAAGCTGAAGACAGAGGATGGATGCATGATTGCTGATCCGGGAGAACAGACTGGGTAGCTGGGTGGCGCCACTTTCACTGCTTCCGCACATGCGCATATGCACCTATGAGCACCGCAACAATCCACCCCAGTAAGCTAGCAGCGCCATCTAGTGGAGAGCGGAGCTGTTACACTGAGCCCCGCCCAACTTGGCTAACTTCCCTCTTCAAGAACACAAGTCTCACCGTCGGCTTAGTTTATGGACTATAAAGTGCTACATAGACTGACTTCTAGGGGAAAACGAAGTAATTTCACGCCTACTTCAATCTATTAGCAGGTTCATCTATTCAATTTTCCTTTTTTTCTTTTTCTCTTTTACACTTTTCTTTTTCTCAAATACAGAAAGAGAAAAAAAATTCATTTTTATTTTCAATTTTTATTAAAAATAATTTTCTTTAAGTTTTATTACTCTAGTTTTCACTTTTGTGTAAATTTTTTCAAATTCCATTTTACTTCCATCATTTTATTTTAGTCTACTTCAGTGTATTCATCTTTTCAAATTTTCAAACAATTTCCTTTTTTTCTTTTTCTTTTTTCTCTTTTTCGTTTCTTTTCTTTTTCTTGAATGCAGAAAGAGAAAAACTTCATTTTTACTTTCAATTTCTATTAAAAATATTTTTATTTAATTTTTTACTATATTTTTTGCTTTTATGTAACTTTTTTCAAATTCTATTTTACTTCCATCATTTTATTTTAGTCTACTACAGTGTATTCACTTTGTCAAATTTTCAAATGATTTCTTTTTTTATCCTTTTTCTCTTTTTTCTTTCTTTTTTCTTGAATACAGAAAAAGAAGAAATTCGTATTTTTAATTTTTATTAAAAATATTTTCGTCTGACTTCAGCCAGGTCACGATCTCGCGGTCCGTGAGTTCGAGCCCCGCGTCGGGCTCTGGGCTGATGGCTCAGAGCCTGGAGCCTGTTTCCGATTCTGTGTCTCCCGCTCTCTCTCTGCCCCTCCCCTGTTCATGCTCTGTCTCTCTCTGTCCCAAAAATAAATAAACGTTGAAAAAAAAATTAAAAAAAAATATTTTCCTTAATTTTTTCTACTATATTGTTTACTTTTATGTATATTTTTTCAAATTCTATTTTACCTCCATCATCTCATTTTAGTCTACTTCAGTGTACTCATTTTTTCAAATTCTCAAACGATTTCCTTTTTTCCCCCGCCCCCTTTTTTTTCTCTAATCTGTCAAACCACTTTCGACACTCAGACGAAAACACACCTAGGATCTAGCATCTATTTGATTTGTGTGTGTGTGTGTGTGTGTGTGTGTGTGTGTGTGTTTAATTTTTAATTTGATATTTCTTTAATTTTAATTTTTTAATTTTAATTTTTCTATCTCTTTAATTTCTTTTCTCCCTTCAAAATGACAAAGTGAAGGAATTAACCCCAAAAGAAAGAGCACTAAGAAATGACAGCCAGGGATTTACCCAACACAGATACAAGCAAGATGTCTGAACCAGAATTTAGAATCACGATAATAAGAATACTAGCCGGAGTCGAAAATAGATTAGAATCCCTTTCTGCAGAGATAAAAGAAGTAAAAAATAGAATAAAATTAAAAACGCTATAACTGAGCTGCAATCACAGATGGATGCAGCGGCAGCAAGGATGGATGAGGCAGAAGAGAGAATCTGCGATATAGAGGACAAACTTATAGAGAATAATGAAGCAGAAAAAAAGAGGAGGATTACGGCAAAAGAGCACGATTTAAGAATTAGAGAAATCAGTGACTCATTAAAAAGGAACAACATCAGAATCATAGGGGTCCCAGAAGATGAAGAGAGAGAAAAAAGGGGTAGAAGGGCTATGTGAGCAAATTATCGCAGAAAACTTTCCTAACCTGGGGAAATACACAGACATCAAAATCCAGGAAGCACAGAGGACCCCCATTAGATTCCACAAAAACGGACCATCAACAAGGCATATCACAGTCAAATTCAGAAAATACTCAGGCAAGGAGAGAATCATGAAAGCAGCAAGGGAAAAAAAGTCCCTAACCTACAAGGGAAGACAGATCAGGTTTGGAGCAGACCTATCCACAGAAACTTGGCAGGCCAGAAAGGAGTGGCAGGATATATTCAATGTGCTGAATCAGAAAAATATGCAGCCAAGAATTCTTTGTCCAGCAAGGCTATCCTTCAAAATAGAAGGAGAGATAAAAAGTTTCCCAGACAAACAAAAATTAAAGGAGTTTGTGATCACTAAACCAGCCCTGCAAGGAATTTTAAGGGGGACTCTCTGAGGGGAGAAAAGATGAAAAAAAAATATATACATATACATATATATATATATATACACACATATATATATATATATATGCCATAAGCATATATATAAATAATGGTATATATATAAATACCATAAGCAACAAAGATTAGAAAGGACCAGAGAATACCACCGGAAACTCCAACTCTACAAGCATCATAATGACAATAAATTCATATCTTTCAGTACTCACTCTAAATATCAATGGAATCAATGCTCCAATCAAAAGACACAGGGTAATAGGGGCACCTGGGTGGCTCCGTCGGTTAAGCATCCGACTTCAGCTCAGGTCATGATCTCACAGTTCGTGTGTTCGAGCCCCACGTCGGGCTCTGTGCTGACGGCTCAGAGTCTGGATCCTGCTTCGGATTCTGTGTCTGCCTCTCTCTCTGCCCCTCCCGTGCTCATGCTCTGTCTCTGTCTCAAAAATAAATAAACATAAAAAAAAAAAAGACACAGTGTAACAGAATGGATAAGAAAACAAGATCCATCTATATGCTGTTTACAAGAGACCCACTTTAGACCTAAAGACACCTTCAGATTGAAAATAAGGGGATGGAAAACCATCTATCATGCTAATGGGCAACAAAAGAAAGCCGGAGTAGCCATACTTATATCAGACAATCTAGACTTTAAAATAAAGACTGTATCAAGAGATGCAGAAGGGCATTATATCATAATCAAGGGGTCTATCCACCAAGAAGACCTAACAATTGTAAACATTCATGCACCAAATGTGGCAGCACCCAAATATATAAATCAATTAATCACAAACATAAAGAAACTCATCGATAGTAATAGCATAATAATAGGAGACTTCAACACCCCACTCACAGCAATGACAGATCATCTACTCAAAAAATCAACAAGGAAACAATGGCTCTGAATGACACACTGGACCAGATGGACTTAAGAGATATATTCAGACCATTTCACCCTAAAGCAGCAGAATATACATTCTTCTCCAGTGCACATGGAACATTCTCCAGAATAGACCATATACTGGGATACAAATCAGCCCTAAGTAAGTACAAAAAGATTGAGATCATACCGTGCATATTTTCAGACCACAATGCTATGAAACTCGAAATCAACCACAGGGAAAAATTTGGAAAGGTAACAAATACTTGGAGACTGAAGAACATCCTAATAAAGAATGAATGGGCTAACAAGAAGTTAAAGAGGAAATTAAAAAGTATATGGAAACCAATGAAAATGATAACACCACAACCCAAACCCTCTGGGATGCAGCAAATGTGGCCATAAGAGTAACGTATATAGCAATCCAGGCCTTCCTAAAGAAGGAAGAAAGATCTCAGATACACAACCTGACCTTATGCCCTAAAGAGCTGGAAAAAGAACAGCAAATAAAACCCCAAACCAGCAGAAGACAGGAAATAATAAACATTAGAGCAGAAATTAATGCTATCGAAACAAAACAAAACAAAACAAAACAAAACAAAACAGATCAATAAAACCAGAGGCTGGTTCTCTGAAAGAATTAACAAAATTGATAGACCACTAGCCAGTTTGATCAAAAAGAAAAAGTAAAGGACCCAAATAAATAAAATCAAGAATGAAAGAGAAGAGATCACAACCAGCACAACAGAAATAAAAACAATAATAAGAGAATATTATGAGCAATTATATGCCAATAAAATGGGTAATCTGGAAGAAATGGACAAATTCCGAGACACATATACACTACCAAAACTGAAACAGGAAGAAATAGAAAATTTGAACAGACCCATAACCAGTAAGGAAATCGAATTAGTAATCAAAAATCTGCCAAAAAACAAGAATGCAGGGCCAGATGGCTTTCCAGGGGAATTCTACCAAGCATTTAAGGAAGAATTAACACCTATTGTCTTGAAACTGTTCCAAAAAATTGAAATGGAAGGAAAACTTCCAAACTCTTTCTATGAAGTCAGCATTACCTTGATTCCAAAACCAGACAGAGACCCCACTAAAAAGGAGAACCATAGACCAATTTCCCTAATGAACATGGGTGCAAAAATCCTCAACAAGATATTAGCCAAACGGATCCAACAATACATTAAAAAATTATTCACCACGACCAAGCAGGATTTATACCTGGGATGCAGGGCTGGTTCAATATCCGCATAACAATTAACGTGATTCATCACATCAATAAAAGAAAGGACAAGAACCATATGATCCTCTCAATAGATGCAGAGAAAGCATTTGACAATATACAGCATCCTTTCTTGATAAAAACCCTCAAGAAAGTAGGGATAGAAGGAGCGCACCTCGAGATCATAAGAGCCATATATGAACGACCCAACGCTAATATCATCCTCAATGGGGAAAAACTGAGAGCTTTCCCCCTAAGGTCAGGAACAAGACAGGGATGTGCACTCTTGCCACTGTTATTCAACATAGTATTGGAAGTCTTAGCCTCTGCAATCAGACAACACAAAGAAATAAAAGGCATCCAAATCGCCCAGGAGGAGGTCAAACTTTCACTCTTCGCAGATGACATGATACTCTATATGGAAAACCCAAAAGATTCCACCAAACAAACTGCTAGAATTGATTCATGAATTCAGCAAAGTCGCAGGCTATAAAATCAATGCACAGAAATCGGTTGCATTCCTATACACCAACAATGAAGTGACAGAAAGAGAAATCAAGGAATCGATCCCATTTACAGTTGCACAAAAAACCATAAAATACCTAGGAATAAATCTAACCACAGAGGTGAAAAATCTATACACTGAAAACTATAGAAAGCTTATGAAAGAAATCAAAGAAGACACCGAGAAATGGAAAAAGATTCCATGCTCCTGGATTGGAAGAACAAATATTGTTAAAATGTCAATACTACCCAAAGCAATCTACGTATTCAATGCAATCCCTATCCAAGTAACACCAGCATTCTTCACAGAGCTAGAACAAATAATCCTAAAATTTGTATGGAACCAGAAAAGACCCCGAATAGCCAAAGTGATCTTGAAAAAGAAAACCAAAGCAGGAGGCATTACAATCCCAGACTTCAAGCTATACTACAAAGCTGTAATCATCCAGACAGTATGGTACTGGCACAAGAACAGACACTCAGATCAATGGAACAGAATGCAGAACCCAGAAATGGACTCACAAACGTATGGCCAACTAATCTTCGACAAAGCAGGAAAGAATATCCAATGGAATAAAGACAGTCTCTTCAGCAAGCGGTGCTGGGAAAACTGGACATCGACATGCAGAAGAATGTACCTGGACCATTTTCTTACACCACACACAAAAATAAACTCAATGGATGAAAGACCTCAATGTAAGACAGGAAGCCATCAAAATCTCAAGGAGAAAGCAGGCAAAAACCTCTTTGATCTTGGCCACAGCAACTGCTTACTCAACACATCTCCGGAGGCAAGGGAAACAAAAGCAAAAATGAATTACTGGGACCTCATCAAAATAAAAAGCTTCTGTGAAGGAAACAGTGAAGGAAACAATAAGCAAAACTAAAAGGCATCTGATGGAATGGGAGAAGATATTTGCAAATGACCTATCAGATAAAGGGTTAGTATCCAAAACTGATAAAGAACTTATCAAACTCAACACCCAAAAAATAAATAATCCAGTGAAGAAATGGGCAAAAGACATGAAAAGACACTTCTCCAAAGAAGGCATCCAGATGGCCAACTGACACATGAAAAAATGCTCATCACTCATCATCAGGGAAATACAAATCAAAATCATAATCTGACAGCTTACACCTGTCAGAATGGCAAACATGAACAACTCAGGCAACTACAGCTGTTGGCGAGGATCCGGAGAAAGAGGATCTCTTTTGCGTTGTTGGTGGGTATGCAAGCTGGTGCGGCCACTCTGGAAAACAGTATGGAGGTTCCTCAAAAAATTGAAAATAGAACTACCCTACGACCCAGCAATTGCACTACTAAGCATTTATCCACGGGATACAGGTGTGCTGTTTTGAAGGGACACATGCACCCCCATGTTTATAGCAGCACTATCAACAATAGCCAAAGGATGGAAAGAGCCCAAATGTCCATCGATGGATGAATGGATGTGGCATACACACACACACACACACACACACACACACACACACACACACACAATGGAGTATTACTCGGCAATCAAAAAGAATGAAATCCTGCCATTTGCTACTACATGGATGGAACTGGAGGGTATTATGTTAAGCGAAATTAGTCAGAGAAAGACAAAAATCATATGACTTCATTCATATGAGGACTTTAAGAGACAAAACAGATGAACGTAAGGGAAGGGAAACAAAAATAATATAAAAACAGGGAGGGGGACAAAACACAAGAGACTCTTAAATATGGAGAAGAGAAGGTTACTGGAGGGGTTGTGGGAGGGGGATGGGCTAAATGGGTAAGGGGCACTAAGGCATCTACTCCTGAAATCATTGTTGCACTGTATGCTAACTAATTTGGATGTAAATTTAAAAAAATAGAAAAATAAAATTTAAAAAAAGAAAAGACAAAGCTATAGCTTGTGATGAAGGAAACCCAGGAAGCAACACATGCAAAAAATGAAAATTTCATCAGCCACTATCAAAAATATGTCAGTGAAATAAATGGCAGAATGTTTAAAATTTCTTAAAAAGTAGCCATTATAGTATATTCAGATAAAATATGTGTTTGTCCTGGTGTACTTTCTGAAATAGTTCAATATATTATTTGTCTCTTTAAAGTCTCTGTCTTTAATGATACTGTTGTGTAAATTCGTTTGGTATCGAGCAATTTGTTTTCCAGCTAAAGAAAATAGATTGTATTTACCTTAAATTTTCAAGACCTCCCAAATAATAAACGGTTAATGTCACTAGTAATCCTTACTAGGAAAAGAAAACCAAACCAAAGATTTTTTTTAAGTGTTGGGATAACTCAAAGTTAAGATGATAACAGCTGACAATTTTCAGCTTTTGCATGGATTGTTCTTCAGTTCATACTACGGACTTTTTTTCCCCTTGTATTTTTCTTCCGCCTTAAAAAAGAAATAAGCTATACTGATATATTCAAATTCTTTGTAAAAATTAAAGCTATAAAAGAGGTAGACTAAAGCTTTAAATATCACACCTTATCTCTTCTTTTTGTGAAACTCCTCTGCCCTCACATAAAGTCAGTGGGTGAGTTGCTAAAGGTCACCAGCCAATTGGTAACAACGGTAAAATTCTATACCCACCCCGCCTCGTTCCGTCAACTAGATGACACTGCCTCCCCCTAAATAAGAAAGTTAACAGTTCTCAATAAAAATAGAAATATACAAGCTAAACTTTTTTACATTTAGTCCTTTTTTTTTTTTTTAATGGGGGAAAAATGTGGTGTTCCAGAGGTAAAGAACAGAGCTTACAAGTCTAGATGAGAACCAAATCCGTCAGTAAGGGGGCCTTTCCCTGGACCTTTGTTGTCTCTTTATTCAATTTTTAGTATCTAGTTAGAACTATTATATTTCTGAATCATGAGGACAAAGCCAGCTTAAGCTCTTCCTCCCTCCCTCCCTTCCTTCCTTCCTCTCCCCCCAAGTACAAGAAAATATGGCTGGTAGTTTAAGAATTGATCAATCTCACTCTGAAATATTTATGTACTTTTCTCTGACTTGGTTACTCCTCCCACGGATATTAATAGTTTCTTCTTCTGGGATAACTCTGCCTCTAGCAGAAATGCTGCAGTGTAGCGGAGATGCTGGTGTTGGGACTGTAAACGATGCGTTAGGAATGGTCTTGCTGCACTTCAGCCTGGAAGCAGAGGTTTATTTCTGGGTCTACACCTTTGCCTGCCAGCGAGATAACACAGCACTGTCACTTGCGAGCATTGTTGCAACATGGGTGCTTTTGAATGTCTGGATTCTTTATTTATGTAATTTTTTTTAATGTTTTTATTTTTGAGAGACAGAATGCGAGCAGGGGAGTGGCAGAGAGAGAGAGAGGGAGAGACAGAACCTGAAGCAGGCTCCAGGCTGTCAGCACAGAGCCCGACGTGGGGCTTGAACTCACAGACTGTGAGATCATGATCTGAGCTGAAGTGGGAGGCCGAACCACTGAGCCACCCAGGCGTGCCAGAGGTTGGTTTTTTAAAGCCAGAAAGAAGAGCTTGACTTTGTTGAGATGTACAATAAACAGCAGCTGGGAGTTCTTCGACAGAAAGTCTCATTATGAAAGCAATTATTTTAAGACAAGACATTTGACAACAGTAAGTCAGGCACACAGAAGAGGGGGAGACCCTACTCTGTATCCTGGGGTTGCCTTGTTTGGGTGGCACCATGGTGCTAATGCATGGAGTGTTTGGCCAGGGGTGGAACATCTGATCTGCACAGGTCTCTGCTGGGTAGTCCCTTGGTCTCATCCACAGTGGTTCCCTTGGATGGCTCACTGGTCTACGTGAGGTCCCCTCTTAGGGATATGGGAACCCACTCTCCAGCTTCCCATTGGGAGACCTCGGAGAGTCTTTCTCCCACACACCCATTTCTGGTACACAGGGCAATCTTGGGTCTACGGGAGACTAGCACATAGGTTATCTCTGTGCTGAGTCCCCTGAACGCTAAGGGGTTTTTTGTTATGTTACCCTACTCCTCCAGCATTTAGCCTGGAAGGAAACTAAGGTGCATGTTCTTTTCTCAGAAGAGCTCCCCAACTTTCCTCTTGCTTTCCTTCCAGTTCTCCTCCCTACCCTTGTCCGGGAGAATCTTCTCTGGGCAGAGTGACTCCTTGCTCTATATTGTCATGAATCTGCGAATCGCTATGATTGGAGCTTAAGTCTCCTGAGACCCTCAGCTCCTGAATCCCAAGAGCCCTCTCCCTTGTATTCTGCAATATCATCTCTTCTCTGAGTCAGGACTATTGGCCGAATGGGAGGAACGGTGAGGGTATGGAAGCAAATATCTCACAGCTGGCTGGCTGATCTCTGGCTATCTCAAAATATTACTGTCATTGCAGCAATCCAGGCATGAAGCCGTATGAACTGAGTGGCATAAAAATAAAAATGATGGGAGGCACCTGGGTGGCTCAGTTGGTTGAGCATCAGACTCTTGGTTTCAGCTCAGGTCACGATCTCGCAGTTTGTGAGTTTGAGCCCCACATCATGCTCTGCACTGGCAGCATGGAGCCTGCTTGGGATTCTCTCTTCCCCTCTCTCTGTCCCTCTCCGTCCCTCAAAATAAATAAATAAACTTAGGAGAAAAATAGAAATGAAGGGACACTGAACAAGAAACACAGTGAAGAAGTAACAAAATCTTGTTTGTGGGACACACGCAAGGCAGAAGAGGGGAGGAAAGGCACTTGACGGCCTGGATTGAGGTGATGTTGGCCATCATGGGACCTATTTTTCCATGGCTTATACTCCCCCTTCTCCGTTGCCTTTACACCCTAATCATGAAGTCCTGGTAACTAAATTAAAAGTTCTTCAAATCCATATCCCTCTTCTTCGTCACCACGGTCACTGTCCTTGTTCATGCCAGCAACATCTCTCCTCTGGACTATCTACTGCATCAGACTCCTTACTTCTCTCTCTCTCTGCCCTCAGCCCCCTAGAACTCATCCTACATTCAGTCATAAAGATGACCTTTCTAAAGCAACAATTAGATCGTGCCAGCCATGTTTCTCTCTGGCTTTCTAGTACCCATATAATGCATCGAATTCCTATGCTCACGGCCTTAGGGAACCCTACATCATGGGGCTTACTTTGCTGGCCCAGCTTCATTCGATACCTCTTACCTGGGGCCGTAAGTTGGGCCAAAAGGGTAGTGTACTGGACTGGTCCACGCCATGGACTCATCACAACGTAGCCTGGCTTTGAGTCCTAACCCCACTGTTCACTTGGACAAGTTATTTAACTATAGTGATTCAGTATTCTCCTCTGTGAAATGTCATTAGGAGGATTAAATGGGAATAGATTTTAAAAGTGTACCTGGGGGGGGGGGGGGGGGGGGGGGGCGGGGGCTTGGGTGGCTCCGTCAGTTAAGTGTGACTCTTGATTTCAGCTCAGGTCATGATCTCATGTTAAATAAAAGAAAAACACTTGGGGCACTTTGGCTGGCTCAGTCGGTAGAGCCTGTGACTCTTGGTCTCAGGGTTGGGAGTTTGAGCCTGACATTGGGTGTAGAGATTACTTAAAAAAATAAGAGTTTTAGGAAAGAAAAGAAAAATATTTGCCCAGATGGTCAAGTCTCTCTCATCCCAGTGAATTTACACCTTCCGGTTCTTGAACCTATTTTGGGGGCCTTCCTTCGGTCAACCTTTAGTCTTCCTTCTAGAAGGAACTACAATGTCAGGTGTTTTGTAAAGCCTTTCTACTGTACTTTGTTCCTCACTCTATTAAAACTTTTATTGAGGGGGGCCCAGCTGACTCACTTGGAAGAACAAGCAACTCTTGATCTTGGGGTCATGAGTTTAAGCCCCATGTGGGGTACAGACATTACTTAAATAAAACCCCCCTTTTATTGTATTATAACTTGCATGAATTTTCTATGGCAGCTGCACCAAATTACCATGAACTAGATGGCTTAAAACCACAGAAATGTATTGGGTCATGGTTCCGGAGGCTAGAGTCCTGAAAACCAGCATCACTGGGCTGAAAGCCAGGTGTGAGCAGGACCACACTCCTTCTGGAGGCTCAGAGGGAAAAAGCCGTTCTTTGCATCTTCTAGCTTCTGGTGGCTGTCTGCATTCCTGAGACCGTGGCCACATCACTACCGTCCCTGCCTGCCCGCTAACATTGCTGCTTCCTCCCGTCTGTGTCAAATCTCCTCTGCCTCTCTCTTGGAAGGACACTTAACGATGGCATGGAGGGCTCACCTAGATAATCCAGCCTAATCTTGTCATCTCAAGATCCTCCATTTAACAATTTAGTATATTCCACGAGATGCTTTTATCCTATATAAGGTAACACAGGCTCTAGGGATCAGGATAGAATTATCTTTGGATGCCATGACTCGGCTCCTACAATAATTATGCGGATGTCAGTGTTGTTGCCTTTGTATGACAAGGCTCCATCACAGTGCAAGCACATAGCATGCAATCAGTAAGTGAAATACACGTATAGGTACGGCGGTACAGGGTGAAGGCCCACTGTCCATGTTCCTTGGTATTCCTTCTTTGCGAACGCTTTATTTCCCTAGGCCAGAGCTATTTCTTTCATGTGCTAATCTGTGGTTGGAAAGATATTTTACTCACGAATTGGATCAGCTTCTAGGTTAGGGAAATTAAGCAAACAGGGCCTTTGTCATTGGATCATTTCCTCCGAGCTACAGTGAGGCGAAGGAACCAAAAACTCCATTCAAACCCTGTTCCTTCTGAGCTAAGGGGCGGAGGGGAGGGTAAAAGGTGAAGGGGCCCTGGCAGCTGGAAGGCGACTTTCACGGAATCTGAGCACGCAGAGTGCCAGACTGACAAGTATGAGCTGCACTAAGAGTGCGGTCATCAGGCTGCCTGCCTGGTTTGTTGCCATTGCCTGGCCGTTTATTTAAACACAGTTTTCCTGGTAATTTAAGCTCCTAAATTCATGACCATTGCTTAACTGACCATTTCCCCATCTTGAGTCACTTGAGTTCAGCACAAGCATTTTTCTGAAGTGAGGTGGTTTCTTTTCCAGCGTTCCTAAATCACAGTCACCTTCACCCACAAGAATAAGTCTGTTCCAGCCACTGCTCACCTGGAAAGACAGCTCAGTAGCCAGGGTATTGTTTTTCTCAGTCATTGGAAATCTTTCCCCATGAAAGAAAAAAAAAGTCACTTGCAATAAAAGAAGCAAAAAGTAGGTTACTTTGTACAATTAATCTTTAAAACAATAAATTGTTTACTGTATTGTCATTGTTTATTTACTTTTATGCCAGCCTTTTTCATCTTTGTGTTGGCGGGAGCCCCACAGGATCAGAATGTTGAAAAAAACTGGAGGGCCCAAAAACTTATCCAAGATTTGCCTAAGAAGGCATGTAATCAGAAACTCCTAAGGTTTGGAAAAAATTCTCTCATGTACGTACACGTAACACCCATCTGTAATAAAACATAATTGTCAGAATTGATTTAAGTACTGTGACTGGCATAAAGCTCCTTTAACAGAGTGGTCTGGAAACCGTCAGAGCTTTTACTGGTCAGAGTAGACTCCTGTAGCCTGGCCAACGAGACCAATTTGCCTCCTAAAATCATCTCCAACAACACTCCTTCTAGCTCTGTTCCACTCTGTCTTTCCTAGGGATCATACTTCCTCCTATCAATTGGAACTTTGCACACACTGTTCCCTCTGCTTAGAATGCGTATCCTTCTTCCTCCTCTTAAGTTCTATTCATCCTTTGGATTGTAGCTCAAGCATTACTCTCTCTGAAAAGCTTTACCAGATTGGGTCAAATCCCCCAAGCGCTGGTGTAGCACTTAAGACCACCGACTGTATTTGTTTGTGTGATTAACTGATTGCTGCCTTCTCCTTCCACCAGACGGTACAAAGCTCTGTGAGGGCAGAGAACAAGTCAGTTTCTGTTATCATTACGTCACCAGCCCTTCTCTATTGCTGGAACCCAGTGAGCATCATAATGTTAAAAAACCTGGAGAGCCCAAAAACTTATCCCTAAGTACTCCATACTTACAGAGTAAGCATGTAATAAATATTTAACTGCCGAATGATTATGTTGTGAAATCTCATGCCCACTCTGCCACTGGGTTATTAGGCAGACTATTTGTCTTCACAGGGCCTCATCTTCATCATTTGTAAGAAAATGCCTCTTCCAGGCCCCAAATTCTAGGATATTTATGGTTCCTGCCTTGAGCCTGTAAGACTGATCAGGCTAGAGACAGAAAGCCAACGCACTGTCATCTGCCTGCCAAAATGCCACATACTAAGCAAGAAACTAGAATTACCCTCTGCACCTTTGCCCCTCTCCTTAATACTATGCCTTGATTCTGGCTTTCATTGCCTTTCATTTAAAATACTGTAGGGGCGCCTGGGTGGCGCAGTCGGTTAAGCGTCCGACTTCAGCCAGGTCACGATCTCGCGGTCTGTGAGTTCGAGCCCCGCGTCGGGCTCTGGGCTGACAGCTCAGATCCTGGAGCCTGTTTCAGATTCTGTGTCTCCCTCTCTCTGACCCTCCCCCGTTCATGCTTTGTCTCTATCTCAAAAAAAAAAAATAAACGTTAAAAAAAAATTAAAATACTGTAAATGCCGGGTGCCTGGGGGCTCATTTGGTTAAGTGTCTGACTCTTGGTTTCCACTTGGTTATGATCTCATGGTTTGTGAGTTCGAGCCCCTCGTCCGGCTCTGTGCTGACAGTGCACAGCTTGCCTGGGATTCTCCCTCTCCCTCTCTCTCTGCCCCTGCTGCACATGTTCTCTCCTTCAGAATAAATAAACTTAAAAAAATAAAACTGTTTAAAATACTATCAATGCTCCCTTAAATGGTGGACCTATGTTTAGTCCTCTCCTCTCAAAGCGTATCTGCAAGGTGCCAGTAAAACTCAGTCTAAACGCTGGACTGATCTTGGCACCCCTCTGCTTAAACATTTTTCTGCGTTTTCCACAGCACGTCAACAAAACTCCTCTCGAGAAGACATCCTTCCCCTGTTCCTGTTTCCCCTCCTGGCTTCTCCTTGGGAACTTGTGTTCCACCCAGAACCACTCCCAGGGCCCCAACACACATTGTTCTTTCAAGTCCCTCTGTCCTTGTGTGCATTTCTCTCTGCCCAGAAAACGTCTCTGCTCCTTTGCTAGTAAAGTTTCATTCATCCTTTTAGGCTCAAGCGTTCCTTGCATGTGGCCCAGGCCCTGAGTCAACCCCCATTTCTCAGGCTGAGCTTGTCACTCACTGCTTGTGTTCTCACAGGATACTGCGCACAAGCCGCCATAACAAGACTCCTTGGTGAGCTATATTTGTATGCAGAGGGACATTTGGGTTAAGAGCATGGGTCTCACATTCGGACTTACTTGAGTTTGAAACCAAATTCTGCCACTTACTGTGTGGCCTTGGAAATGATTCTTAGTTTCCTACTTGTGGAAAGGGGGGACTTAATGCCTAACTCATTGGGCTGTTGCAGTTACGGAAAAAATGTGATAATGTGTTTGAGGCACTTAGCACAATTGGCCCGTTATACTAACAGTAATTGTCATTGGGTTGTGAATGTGTCAAGTGTGAAGACTCAGCCCTACATTTTGTCCATCTTTCTATCCTGGTGGCTACTCAGTGAATGCTTCTTCAAAGGCATAAATGAAATAGTGTCCATAATGTATTTTTCTTTACAGGAGGACTAGAGGCTTATTCCTTTTTTTAGGAATTTTATTGAGGGGTTAAAAATTCTCTTGATCTTATGGCATATTCCAAATCGTATTTATCTTTCCCTTTGCTAAACTAATCCTGAACTCACACATGTAACATAATTTGAGATCAAACTTGAGTTTTTAGTATTAGTGTTTTCTGCTAAATTCTCCCTTCACACTTTCAAGAATTTTTACCGCATGCACGTCAATTTCAGTCCTTCCTTGTCAATTTCAGTCCTTCCTTAACTCTTTGTGGAACACAGACTATATCCTCCTTTGTCATAGGAGTAATACCAATAGCATGCACGTGTATAGGACTTATGTGCCAAGTACTGTTCAATGAGCTTTGCATGTTTCAAATCCTCTCTGGGATTCGTAACCAAACCGACTTTTCTAAGATGACAGTGAGTGGTCGAAGCGATTAAAACCGCTGCAAATTCTAGCCTAGTGTTCTGGCCACAGCATGGCTTTTGGACCCCAAAAGAGTCTAAGTTCCTTGAAGGCAAGGTTATCTCCTGCTTTCTCTGCAAAGAGAAAGTCTTGAATGCAGAGACTCAGTGAGCCCTGCTGACCCGCGCGTTTCCTCTCCTGTTCCTGTAATTAACTTCCACTAGAGGGGCAAACGTTCACACTGAACACTCAAGAGACTCCCTGGAAGGTTCAGAGCCTCACGAGGTTTAAAAGCCTTTAACCTTGGCCGAGCACCCTTTAGCCCTCAGCAAGTCACACTCTTCCTCGGTGGTTTCTCTTCGGTGTTCCCGGACCACTCCTTACAGGGTCTCTGACAAGGACAGACTACGTAAGGTTGAGAAAACACCTTTGTCCCCTTCTTTATGCCAAGGGCTGGTCACCGTGTGGGCCAGGCTGACTGTCCGAGAAGGCCTTGGGACCTCGCCGCCCGCGGCGACCCCAACCGCCCACGGGAGAGGGGACGGCGTCAGCTCTGCCCGCGGAGACGCACACGCCTCGCGCCCCGCTTCCAGGAGCCGCCCGGGCTGCGGCGCGGGTCGCCGCCACACCGGAAGCGTCCCGAGCGCGTGCCGGGCGGCCGCCGAGGGTCCGGCGAGCGGGGCGGGGCCGCCGGTCCGGTCCCCCTCCTCCCCCACCGGGGACGCGCGAGGGCCGGGCGGGGCCGGCGTCCCTTCCGGGGAGCGGTGGCCGCCGCCGCCGCCGCGTCTCCGGCGGCTTCCCTCCCCGCCCCGCGGCTCTGGGTGACGCTTCTCCAATAACAGCTCGCGGGGAGCCGCCGCTCCGGGTGCCCCCCGCGCCGGCCCCGCCAGCCCCGCCCCGCAGCCGGCATGAGGGCCGCGGGCGACGGCGGCCTGGAGCGCTTCTGCAGCCCCGGCAAGGGCCGGGGGCTGCGGGCCCTGCGGCCCTTCCACGTGGGGGACTTGCTCTTCTCCTGCCCGGCCTACGCTTACGTGCTCACGGTCAACGAGCGGGGCAACCACTGCGAGTACTGCTTCGCCAGGTAGGGCGGCGGCGCGGGCGGCCGAGCGGGCGGCGGGGGCGCCGCGGCGGCGGCTCGG